AGAGACGGCTGCAGGGGACCTCCTTCATCGGGTCTCTTTGAGGCATCGGTCTCAGCGCTCTAATCATTTATCTAAGAGGATATTTTTAGGCATGAGATGTTTACAAGGTGGTGTCTCACCCGTGACAAAACTGTAGTTTTCTAAATGACCTATTTATTGTAGTGTCACATTGCAGGCTTGAATGCTTGGTAAAATACATGCCCCTGGAAGGAAAAAAAACCCCGAATTATTGGGGTGTATGCTTATATGTTGGGTGGAGTGGTGACGCAGTGGTTTGCACACTGCGCTATGGGCCCCGTGAACTGAGTTTGATTCCCGGCCATGGTTAACGTCGGTGGTGAGTGATATTCGAATCAAACCTGGGCGTGCGCCCCCCCCCCCCCCCCCACACTCTTTACCATCTTGCACTGACCAATGACTTATAGGGAGTAGGGAAGCCTTAATCTGTCGGAGTACAGACAAAGTGATGTAAACTGTATCCGTATACAAGGTGGGAGGTGCATTAATTAGCTGCGCGGTACGGTTAGTTAAACTGATGTGAACAAAACCTTCATAGGTCGGTTTTTTTTTTTGCTGAACTGAACGCGTTCTGCTGTGAGACGCAGATGTGTTACGGGGAAGATCATTGCACCCGTTATTCGGCAGGTCATTTACCTCGTTTGTGCATTCACATCGTCACCCTCGATGCCTGTTGCAAGTAAAAGCCTGTCTACAAAATCACGGTCACGCACAATTTCTCTACTTAAAGGGTTGATTGTGAAAATGTGCTTGATCACATTCCTCACCTGGGGAATTTATTTAGCACACACGAAGCTTAACATCTGTGTCGTCATGCACATGCACAATAACGCAATTGTACATTTGTCATGCCAGTGCGTTAATCAATACAAATTAAATATACGGGGGATGGTTGGTTGGAAGGGGTGGAGGAAGGGGGGGGGGCAGGTGATATTATTTCTTCTTCTTCTTCCAATTTAAACCGTCGTATTGTTTTGCCTTTGATGTGAATGGAGAGAATTGTGTGTTTAAAGTCAGTTTCTGCACAGAAAAATGATTGGCCTGTGATTTACCGCAGAGGGTGACTTCTGGCAAACTGAATTGCGGTAAAGCTGAGGCGAGGTTCACAGGTGACCAACATAAAAGCGGAGGGATACGGTTAAATTGAGCTCCCCCTCAAATGACAAAAATAGGGGACTGGTAAATAGTATGGTAATGTATTCCGGGGGGCTTTTAAGATAATAAAAAAATATATATACAACACCATTAATTCCTCTTTGAAAATAGATGGCAGCTGCAGCAATTGAATAACAGAAAATCCTTAATGAAGTTATTGTTAGATTTAATAGAGACAGTGAACAAAGCGCGGAAGCGCTCTGTCTCACGTACGCTCATTTTGGTAGATAAAAGGGACAGGGTGCGACCTCACCAGCTGATGAATGCGGTGACATCTTCTGTGGTGCCTTTTATTGTGGCCTACGGGAAAGGTTAGAACCATCAAATTTACAGTCTGGAAATCCAGTCATCTCAAGCGGTGTGGTATCAGGTCATCTAAATTAATCTTTAGAACCTAAATAATAAATATGTTGGTTACCAACTGGGTAAAAAAAAAAACAGTTGTTGCATTACAATTAGGTACAGTAGAATAAAAATGCTGAATAATGCATGACGGTATCGTTGCACTGTTTGCACCGTACAATACACCGTACTTATTTTCTAACAGTCAAAATGGGTATGGGATAGGAAAACACGAAAAACGCTCTAATCCACGTGTAAAATACAGTCTTTCACTATTCTCTCATCTGCAACTTTGCACGAATGTTTCTAATTGCCTGCCACCACCGGCATGGGGCAGCAGGACATTTCTGTACAGTTTGATTCCAATTATGGTTCTGAACCTGAAAAATAAAGTAGCCTTTTTTTAAAGCAACCATGTGAAATCAGAGTTGGAAAACATTGTATGATTGGATGCGATCTGGCTTGCTTGGGCTGCACTGCATTTGAAACGGATTCTTTCTGCTTCGCAGTTGTCACAGTAACACATATTTAGCCCCTGGCACCCTCAGTTTACCGAGAACATTCAACATTAATTCACTCTAATTTATTTAAACCAACATCGTCACGGGGCTTGTCATTCTAATAATGTTCAGTACTTTATGGGTCTGTCTCCTTTGCCTGTGGCTTGAAATTGGTTACGGTTTAGTAGCTCAATAATTCAGGGCTGATGTGCTTTTGCCCAGGGCTTCTATTAGCATCTTGCTGCTGTCTCTGAACCTAAAGGGATCGCAAAGCGTGGGAGAGATTTGCTTGCCCGAGAGACAGGCGCGTTTTCGGGCAGTGTGGCCCATGGAAAACAGTGCAGGATATAGAGAGCTCTAAGAAATAATTGCATTAATGGTTTGGGGAAGGGAAATGTGGAAGGATCAGAGTTCAGACTTGATCTCACATTAACAACATGTGCTGTAATGAACTCATTACACTCAACGGTTATTAAAAGTGAAATTCCCTAAAGTGGTGAACTGATGTATTTAATTTGCCTTATGTGCAGTAATTAGGATTATGTGGGTGGTGGTGTGCATTTGACTCGAGTTTTGATTACCTACAATTAATCCCTCGCATTGTAGACGGTCAAGCATGTTTAGCAGCAGATGTTTTTCCACCAGGAACCATGCGCTCGCCATGAGGACCATTTGGATTTCAATTCAATGCGATGACACTTTGTGTTGGTGTGATAGTAGTCATGCTCGGCACGCCGAGTATTCACTTGTCCTTTCTTTATTTAGCTAATTCTTCATTGTGCGCAAGAGTGCGATATATTTTTTGCGTATATAAGATATATTTTTTTGAAATTTGAAATAAAATTGCATTTCATTCAGCATATGAGTACATCCAAATCAATGCAATGGTAATGCAACAATGTGTAAAATTGCCTTTTTTGTGTTTATGCATGTGTGAAATAATGGCTTGCAATCTTACATTTTTTTGCTGTGTCTTTTTTCCCAGGGTGAGTCTTTTTTCTTCACGACAGTAAACAATGTAAACCAGAAATGCAACTGCAGTCACTTTTAAACGTATTGGATGTGGCTTTACCAAGGATAGAGTCAATATAGAAAAGAAGATAACCCAAGGATAGGGCCTTGAAGGAATCCATAGCAAAGTGGTATTGCAGTCCTCCAGCCAAAACCTCCTTGCTTCGTGCTATATCAATGGCAGTGGGTGATCATAAACCACGTGGAAACTCCCCACGGGCGATGTGGATCACATCTGATGCCCAAGAGGCGATTATTACAGGAAGATCCCCATCACAGATGTGGTGAACTTTGCACAATGGAAAGCATCGTGAATAGTCGCCCCTGATACCCGGTTCCTGGCAGGATGGTGACACAAGTCAATTTCCACATCCGATGATGTCCTTGACTGGATATCTGAGCTCGATCTACCCTTGTATATTTTCTTATTTCCACATGACGAGAGGAGAATAGCAGTGAATAAGTAAAGTATATGAATGGAGCATTGTTGGAGAGGCACCTGAGACGATCATACATTGTTTGAGACAGTCAAGTATCCGTTAAAGGCAGCATTGAAGTGAAATAAAACAAGGTAGACAATTCCAAATTGCAGGTGTAGAATATATCAGTGTGGTGTATTTTATAATCCACATGAACCTTGACAAAAATGTCGCCTTGCCTTTAAAAAAAACAACCCATCTCACCGCTCTTTATTTGTCGTAGAAATATTTTTGCTCGCCTGATTTTTTCTTCTTTCTGGAGGCTCTAATGTGCTCTGCAGACCCCTCTAATTATTCAAGTTAGTGTAAATGGGTGCTGGTTTTTAATTTTTTTTGGTGTGCGCTTTGAATGTAGTCCAAAGTGTGATCGGGTATGAAGCACTTCACAGGCCGTGATGTTAAATCGTCACTGGTTGGTTAAGCAGCTCTTGGGTTATTGTGCTTGCAGAATTGAGTGATGCGCAAATTGGCAAACGGCACAGGTGGAGGAACGGATGAATGCGTACCGGACCGTCGTGTCGTAATACGTTTTTGCAAGGTTAACTGGGGGAATAAGGGAGAAATAAATTCAAATTTAGCCCAATAAAACAATTTATTATCCCGTAACTTATGGTAACTTACCCCGCGGCAAGGTTAACTAACCGTAAACTAACCAACCGCATCTTTTAAAATGGACTGCGTTTTTAATGCTTTCACATCTTTCAGCCACATAAATTGGGATGGCTGCTTACTGAAAACTACATTATATAGCTATCAAGCCGTATGAAATATGTAATGTTGCAGTGCTTTCATTAATGGTATCATTTCACCACAAATACAGCCTCGCACACATACATGCGCACAAAAAGGGCCAGAATGTATTGCCATACATGCCAGTTTTGCAAAACTCCAATACAAGCAGCAGGAAATTGCATAGCATAAAAATTCCAATTTACCAGTTCCACCGAGTGCGTAAAATATAATATGGTCCCGTGAACCTCGTAGAATCCTTGGGAGGGAGGTAAAAGTGTTGTGTAATCTTGCCTGAGCCTGGCTGATGATGGTCCTCGAATTGTGCGCGTGCGTGTACGTGCGCGTGTGTGTACGCAAACGGTTTCGGTGTTCATTTAGTCATTCACGCTTACGTGTTGGTGAGTGTGCACATGTGCATCCATGTGTGGTTTTAAGCAATTCTGTTTGTGTTGGCTTGTGTTCATATGTTCTTTGTGTTCGTGCGTTCGTGTGTGCGTACACGTGTGTTCATGTGTACCTTTGTGCATGCGCGTGTCCCTGTGTGTGTATGTGTGTGCGCGCCCGTGCGTGTACATTTTGTTGCCCGCGCGTGCATGTCCACATTCGTGCGTACGCGCATTCACATTCACGTCGTGCCGGCGTGCGCATTCGCGTGCGTGCGCTTGTTCACGTGTTTGCGTGTGCGTGCGTGTGTTCGTGCGTGTGTTCGTGCGTGTGTTCGTGTGTGTGTATGTGTGTGCGGTTTGTCTGCGCCGCGTGGAAGGTGACCGTGAGGATGTTTGAGCGAGGCGGCAGGAGCTGGGGATGGCAGCCGAGCACGGGCACCGCCGTCATTCCCTACAACGCCCACATCGTCTTCCGCGTGTGCGGGGAGGATGCAGACGCCAAAATCCCCGCCAATGACATTGACAGGATCATCCTGAGCATATGAGATTGATTCGGCGTAAAAAAAAAAAAAATCATAACCGCGGCGCATTAACCGCCGCGATGTGCCGCCATCTCGGCTGATCAATTAACGGGATTTGTGTTTTAACTAATCGAAACATAAATCTCATCAGCCCCAGGTCAGTGGACATGAAAGGGTGCAACATCACAACATTAATATGTTTGTCTTTTACTTACCACACAAGGACATTTGACTGGAATACAGGATGGAGATTTAATCAGACTGGCTTGAGGGCTGTTTGGCTAATGTATATAAAAAACCTCAACCTCTTAAGATAGGAATATAAATTGGTGATAAATATTTCATATCATCTCACAATAAGTGGTTTCATTTTGAAAAATAATCAACGTAGCCAACAGCCCCGAATGTTTAAATGCGCACTCGTGATTGATTTTGAAATATAAATTTTTACATTGTTAATCCTTCACGTGTATTTATATTACAAGCTCATATATTCTATTAAAAGTTGAAGTAAATGCATGCTTTTTAATTTTTCGTCATGAATTATCTGTTCTTGTAAATATTCTGTGGTCTTCCGACTTAAGGTATGTATGGTTCAATTATCTCTATCAACTTGATTTGAATTGCCATGTGACTTATAATATTAGATTTGTGAATCAATAAGAACTATAATTCCTCTGTAAAAGATTTGCATACTTATATTTATACAACATTGCCATGTATTTCATTTAATGCCTTGAACTTGAAATCGTTAAATGCATAGTAATGTGTTGAAACATGTAGGCTTGCATGCTTCGAGTTACATTGAGATATAGAAAAAGAAACCCATGGATTAGAGAACACAAGCAGGGCAAAGACATTTATTTTTCTAAGAAGTAAGTGGGCTTCGGCAGGACACTTTGCAAGAAGGAATAGTCAAGGTTCAAGAATAGTGACGGAGTGGCAGCCAAGAAGTGTAACACATCCGAAAGAACGTCTGTCTCGGAGATGGAGCGTGCAGGAGCTAGTTGGACTATATAATCGCAGGATTACGAGAGATGGTGGTGGCTTGGAGAAGTCTTCATCCAGCAGTGGATTGATCATGGCTGATTGGTGGCGCTATATCATAGTTTTCAAAGGAAAAACACGAATTGGCTTCATTGCAAATGAAGAATACCAATTGTGCATCGCCTCTTCAGATAGATGGAGTCATATGGTTGTTATTGTTGTTGTTGTTTTTTTCCAGCCCATTCATTCGAACAAATATTACTTCTGCGGAGCTGGATCCCGTGTTCAATGAACTAGAAAACCACTCGTGAAACTACTGCGGTTTCGTAAAGTTCAGTGGGTTCAATTTCAGCAATCTCTTAGACGTTGTCACTGATTTTCTGCATGGGGTTGTGCCTTACTCCTTTGCACAATCTATTATCTTAAGGCACCAACAGTTTTTTTCCCCCTCCAAATCAAACCTCAAGCATGCAGCATTGCTGCTGACTTGTGGTACCAATCAGGCCGTATGTGTACGGTAGTTTAGAGAATTGTGGATTTATGAATGTTGACAGTTGAATTTTACGATGATCTTTGCCGTTACAAATGGAATTGCATTCTCATCCAAGCTCAGCGTAGCCAATAATGGGTCCTGGTTAATGAGCTGACCCAACACTCACCACGGTATTTCAGAATGACCTCTGCGTAGCCCTTTGCGCTGGCTGACCTTATTATATCCATGTCTCTTTAGCCACTGAAAGTCAAGGCGATCTTTAAAGTTAATTACGTCTTTACTGGTAGCAAGAAAATCATCCAATCATCATTACTGTTGTCATCTGTAACGTATCACCACTCAAGAGTAAAATGTTAAAACGAATCGGCTTAAAATCTTTTATTAAAAAAATTGTCTCTGCTGATTTTAAAATTCCATTTGTTTTTGAAGCACACCATGAAACAAAAAACAGCTGCTATCTTTAAAGTGTGCACATATTCTTGCTCAATTCAAGAAACGTGCTAACTCTTGACTAATACACCCTTCAGAAAAAAAAGAACTCAGCACATTCGTCAGAAATATATATTTGTAATGAGCGACGTTTTGGGCAATGGCTCTTCTTCATAGCACATGAAGAAGGGCCATTGTCCGGAACGTCGACAATGATATATTTTTTGGGTAATTTCAGGCCACAGACTATTGATGAATGTTTAGTTGTCATTTGTGCATGCGTATCACTGTCAACGCAGCATCACCACATCATTTATTGCACCTTTAACCGTGCTGTTTGTTGCGAGCCGCGTGGCATTTTGGGACTATCGGGCCTCTTGGGCCCGTGCTCAGCAACGGTGATTTAAAAGCATAACATACTAAAATGTCCACACTGCATTTTAGTTTCTTCACCTCCGCTTCGAAACCGAAACTCGCGCGCAGTTTTTTTTTCTTCTTTCCGTCCCCCTCCAACGTTCGCAAAAGACATGTCGGAGGCCTCACAGTAATTTGTGGTGATGAAGGCCTCAAGCAAACAATGGAAGTGCATCCGAGTGTGGCTGTGTGGGTCGTTGCCGTGGATCTGTGCTCGCTTCACCATGCAATCACAGCCTGTCGCCATCTGTTCCAAACCGCTATTCTTCAATTTCACAACCTTGCTGCCGACGCGACGGCTTCCCAGTAACTCATCTTTAGAGCGGCCGCTAAATTTGTTCCCTCTAAGAGAAGGGGCCGCCGGCGCCATTGCCGACGGTATTTCTCTATAACCCCTGGTAGTTGTTGGGTTCAGGTCATCTATCTCGCGAGCGGCCGCGGCTTTGAATCAGCGGCCCCTTGGAGATAATGTACAATGTGTGGAGGGGGGCAGACGAGCGTGATGAATGTGTTTTGTTGTTTTGTGAGGAATTGTATTAGCCCGAGTCATGATAGATGGTGTCATGATGGAACACGCGCTAACGGAGAATAAGAACATGTTTTTAATGACCGACAGAGAGAGAGAGCACTAACATATTTTTTTGTCTGTGACAGCAAACGATGATTCAATATTACAAATAGAAATTGCATGATTTTTTGTATTTGTTTTGTTCATGTACGCACTGTGCTAGCCCTTAATTGCCTTGGATAAGTCCATTAAAGTGCTGTAAACCCATTGAAAAACTGCCGCCAATGCCTCCAAAAGTTCATTTTCGGGTTCAATTTTGATGTCCTGCTCTGGAGTAAATAACTCCACCAATCTGCCGTTAACAACAGCTTGTGCGCTCTCTCAGCTAGCCACTCCACCGCTATTGAGAACAGGAAGCCACTGAAAGAGGGTTGCCGCGAGAAGGACACTAATGCACATCGAGCCAGTTAAATGTTCCGTCCGTCCATTTCTGCCTCCCTCAATCACGAGCTGTGCGCACAAGATGTAGAGAGCACACCTCGTGCGAGCCCCCAATGTGCCGGAGTCGCGAGCGCGCGGTACCTTTTTTTCACGAGACCCGTGAGCTTTGTTCAGCAAATGGGATACGCGTCTTAGCACTTAGCAGATCCTCATCAGCTCTTTCTTTGATACGCGCACAATGAGGGGGAAGATGCTCCTCCAACTTACGTGCTTGCATAATGGCCGCGGTGGTTAGTGTAACGTGTTTACGTTTTTTTTTCTCTCCTGTTTCCTGCTAAATGACATTAGTTGTGCGGACTATTGTCCGGCCTTATTGCGAATGTTACTCGGATCTTCCTTTATGCAGCACTTGGTATGCAAGGCCTGATCAATAGCTGAATGGTGTTCCGATGCATATTTTCTTATTAAGTGGTATACTTGCATTTGCTCTTGTGAATTTGCTGCATTTTTACTTATTTAATAATAATACAATATTTAAATAACTCTTCAAGTAGGCCAATTAATACTTTTAAGCATATTTCCTTTTTTTATCATCGTCGTCCTCGTATGCGCAAAAATAGCAGATTTTGAGCTCAATGTTGCTGCCAATTTTTCAATTTAAGGCAGCGACTAATAGAATCCAATGACTGCTTTAGTCAGAACTCGTGTTGTCTTCGTATGGGTGGAGAATGTCGGTGCTTTCCTTGGAGACCACGATCAAGCACGTGGAAATCTTGCAAGTAATTGTTCTTTATGTTTTAAGTATGAATTATAAGGATGGTTGGGAACATTTTGAAATTGTAGGTAGGTATTGTATTTTTTGTGAGCAGAAAATAGTAACCCTGTACCTTGGTTATAATTGCACTGTAGGGCCCTGGCATTTACTTGGACTGATTTAGGTATAAATCTGCGGCTCGCTCAGTTGCGTGAAGATACTCTCAACCATGTACGTGTCGCGAGCATTGGCCATTGCCGATGTAGTTACCATCGCCATCAGCCATGGTCAGACTACTGCTGGATGAAGTCCTCGCCAATCCGATGGCATTTTTTCACGATCCTGTAATTGTCAACGCAGCGGAAGGATTGAGGCTGAATGCCACTTAATTCCACCAAGAGTGCCCCTGACCTCATCACATCTCGGAAACCAAAGTAGGGTGGATAGTGCTTAGATGGGTGACCGCAATGCATAAAACAGGTGCTATAGGCTGCTGCTGCTGCTGGGTCTTGTTGGCAGCAGAGGTCAATGCACAAAAGCCCAGTGTTGTAGTATATCATGCTCCCTGCCTTCACCAAGTCACACAGGTGAAGTATGACCACAACCTGACAGCGTTGGGTATTGAAATGTTTTCATGGGAGTATATGAACACACCTTTATGGACTTCACGGCTATATAAAATAAGCGCACGGTACAACAGACGATATTCCCCACAGCTTATGATTATTCCATAATTGTTGCTATTATGTGAACAGCATGGCTTTATAGAGGCATACGATAGACAGGCTTCTCACTCCAAGACAGCTCTTGCCCTCCCGACTCGCAGTTTGCGCGCTCCTTATGACGATTGCAGCAGCCAGGTGCAATCTGAAAAACGAGGGCTTCGTGAGCAGCACAGGTAGAAATTGCTAACTCCAGACTATTCATTTATGTTTTCAAGTCAGGGGGCGTGAGGGTAGGCGGGGGACAAAAACACTTGTCAGAATATCTCACATTCGTGCAAGGAAATTGTGAAGCTGTTAAAACCACAATGCTTCCATAATATATTTCTAGAGGATACCGTCAGTGTGGGGTTTCGTGTGTGTGTGTGTGCAATCGCTTAGTTATTGTGCATGTCCTTGGCATACAAAACTGGCGAGTTAATATTTTATAGCACAATTTGGGTCAGGGTAGGTGGCCCCAGTTTGACCACATTCATGCAGCAATAACCTTGACATGCGCTGAGTGCAAAAGAAAAAAAGGAAATCTGCAGGAAGCATTGAGATTATGTGTGCATGATCCAGAGTCAATTAATTTTTTGGAGATGTAATCTCCACAAAACCTTGTTAGGGCACTGGTTCATATTTTAACAAAGACATTCATCTTGCTATTGATCCCGGGATGTCGTGATGGGTAGCGGGATTGATAGAAAGCAGGGGGGGAAACCCACAAAGAGACACTGGACAATTTAGGCACTTGCATTTCTGGAATGGCAACATTTATCGTAGTGTTCAGGGATTAATCTCTGCATGTTCTGCCACTGTACATATTTTGTATTGGATACATGCGCAATTTGAGAAAGTGCATATTTACCTTTGAAATCTAAGTCCAAAATGTTTCTTGGGTCAACATTGTACATGAAACGGAAAGCGTTCAAGATCGTGTCCACCTCGGAGATGGAGTGATACATTCTAGCTCACGTGCCGGGTGCACGTTGGCTTTGTTACATCGCCGGACCGTTAGAGGTGACGACGGCGGTGGCTTGGGCAGGTCTTCATCCAGCAGTGGATTGACCATAGCTGTTGATGACTCTACATGCTGTGCAATCAAAGTTAGATTGATGTAGTTAGTCAAAAGTAAACCTATAAAACTAACTATGTCTTTGCATGGTTTTTGTTTCTAAGATTGCACTAATTGTAACTGTGTTCGCTATCGAATGGGGTAGCGTGGTTGCGCCGTGCTCATCAGACTGAGCTATAAGTCTGGCAACCTGCGTTCCATTCCTGGCCATGGCTAACATCCAGCAGCAGAAAAAAAATGGGCCGGGCAATTGATGATTTATTTTGTTATTTGATTACACCTTCACACAGACGAATGTGCGGGCAAAGAATACCTACTGTTGAAATGCGCCATGTGTAACCATGAAATCACTGTTGGGCAATTGTTGTTGCTCAGGTGTGCACATCGTTCTTGAAGCAAATACATTTGCCGTGAACATAAACAACCTCAGTTAAACACGTAGGCTTTCACACTCAATGTCATCCATAAGTGAGGTCACCACATCTATCCCTCTATTTAAGGAACGGAACAGGAGGATTTCTCCACAAATCTGGCTGATGAAGCTAGTTGTTATTACTGGTGAAACGCTGTACTCAGATTATAAATGTTGTGGATTTGCTCTCCGACACACTGGTGTGCTGTACCAGTAACGAATTGTCATATTCTGTTTACGTGACAAACCTTACTAATTGGCTGTCTCGGGTGATGGCGGGTTTAACGACACATTTATATTTACGCGATGTAACCCAACAAAAAACTATTATGGATAAACAACCTCCCGCACCTTTACACACATGTACTGCAATCAGCACAACCCGCTCGAATACAATCCACATGTGTACATTTACAGCCTTTTGACAACCCACTGCATGAGGACTACCCCCTACTGTGCGGGCCATGGGGTGTTATTTGACCATACTTCACCATACTGGTTTTTTGCGGATTTGGTGAAGGTGGGGGAGCATAGGCATTTAACCATAATCCAGTACAATAATGGTTTTTTTGGCGCACAGATCCATTGCCGTCAGTAACTGTGATTTGGAGCTGCCTTGCGTGATCAGAGTGCTTTTCATTGTCTGGCAGGTGTCTTTCCAAAACTGCCCTGATCACTGTGGTGAAGTGTGGTCGTGTCTGTCTCACATTCACTATGGCCCCCAGCCCTTTGCATCTCTGATTCAGCCAGCCGTGGCGTCGGTTGGGTATGTGACGAAGCAGAGGGCGCTTAATAATCAAAATATATGAAGAGGACGCCGTCTGGGTTTGGTTTTTGTACGTACAACAACGGCCATGATACGTACGTTGATCTTCTTTCACACCGCACGTAGCCAAACCACGCTAATCGGAGGTGGAGAATCTAACCTCGTCACATTCGAGACAGAATTGTCAGAACTCAACTGGCGCGCAGTTGGACTCAGCGAAGTGAAGAGTGAAGGAGAATGGAAAGAGAGGCGATGGTAGTTATTATGGAGGAGTGAGAAATTATTCGTCTCTCTGCGAATTAAGCACGTAATTGTAAGATCGTCAAGAGTACTTCACATAGAATTGTCCATTAACACTCAAGCTCTCGAATCACTACTAGTTAAAGATAATTCAAATAAGTGCTCCAACAAGAAGCCACCAAGATGTAGATGCAGACCAAGTGTATGAATAACTTAACCAATTTCGAAATAGGGAGTGGGGGGGGGGGTAAAATGCACAAGACGATAATCGACAGATAAAAGGTGCGGAGGCAAGAGGTTGATTGGTCAAATTTGGTATCGTGAGGAGTGAGAAGAGAGCGTCCACTGGAGATCACAACTGGCAGGGACATGAAGATAATGATCACCTTTTGTAAAAAAGGAATCTTGACAATGGACATGGAGAAGAAGCTCTAATGGAGAAATTAGAAATTAAATTGACTTCATTCTCAGCCCCAATGACGAATACCAGATTGTCAGCGAAGCCTCTGTCCGTAGAGAATTCAACAAAGAAAGCAATCGTCGCAGGCCAGCGTGATGCGCATTGCTCCTCAACATCGCCAGAGAGAGAATAAAGTAAATTACAGGCAAGAACATGTTGGTTAACATCAACAATCTAGTCCGGGAGATCGGTGAATTTAAATAAGTATTAAACGACCGATTAAAAACCACAGAGATTGAAAATAATGGAATGGGTCTCATTACTTGAAATAGAGATGACTTACATTGTAATGGACAGTACACTAAGAGTGGTGGTTCAAATTAAAAAAAAAATAACTTGACCTATCTGAGAGGACAAAATGCATGTTGAAGAAAACGAGGGATATCTAAAAGAAGGGAAATGTCTAATGAAATATGAACTGCACAAACCCCACTCGGAAAAGAATGAGGAAAGGAATTAGAGAAGACAAAAATATAAATGATTTAAGATGTCATGACAAGCAATGAGAGTACAAGAGCAGCAAAAAGAGAGTTGATGATTGGCAAGTCACAAATTGTCATCCGTAGAGAGATCAAAATGGTACCTTGATGCATTATAAACATATCTCATGAAACTATCTTAGGATTCATATACTCAAGGAAACACATCGTTTTTCAGGTGAGATGGATGTTCTTGATATCACACCCCCAAAGAGGTAACCATTGTTCCTTCGCAGTATAAAGGAATGGATGTGAGAAGGAGTAGTCAGGTATGGAGATATGCTTTCAATCGTTATTACAATGACCAAAAAACTGTGCAAAATCATTGAAGAAAGATGACAAAGAAAAACTGCAAAGTGGTGCTAAAGATAAATGTCAGCAAAACAAACATCACATGCGACAAGTTGGCTGAACAAAGGAAAGTCATTGTCGGATGGACGCAACTTAAAACACGATGGATTATGTATATCTTGGGAAGTTAATGAAGGTGGACTGGGATCAAGATCATGAAACAGAGGTGAGAAGCAACAGCAAGATAGAGTGGTTTTTGAACATTTAATTTTGTTAATGAAATTACATATACCAATATATGGATTTACAAACACCAAACTCTGACAATGTGGAACAAAAAGTTGAAGAGCATGTACAAGAAGCTTGGAGAGATGCATGCTGGGAATTGCACATAGGTACTGATAAACAGAAAGAGGAGCAC